TATTTGTAATCTGTACTGAAATCCACATTATAGAAAGAGCAGTAGACTAATGCCTTTGAGTCACAGTAGAAGCTTGGGAACCCAAAACAATTCTGGGTTAAAGACATGAATACTCTTTTTTTATTAAGAAAAATGGGTATAAATAATTTGGACACATGTTTTCTGGCACAGTGAGAAGGATTTGCTTTTTAAAGTACAACCAAAAGAAATGTAAAAAAATTGAGCTTGTGACTTTGTTAATATTAAGCAATACTTTACAAGAGCTAGACTAATAGCTTATCAGAACTCCCTGCTGCAGTCATCAAAAAGCAAGTTCCTTTAAATAAGGTAATAGTAAAAAATTACTTCAAAACCTGTTTTGTGGTTCTATCTCTTTTTAGAATCTGGTATCAAGGTAGTCTTTCTCATATGAAACCTAGAACCTCTAGGAAAGTGAGACTCATTGCCTGATGTGAAGACAATTCAGAAGACTTTTGAAGCTTTGGGGAAGGAGCTGGTATGCTTGTTGCTGTTAAAGCTACAGTCGCTGAATATCTCCGGAGATCTGAGAAGAATAAATTATAGCTGGAAGTAAAATTGGAATGGCCTATGTATCAATTAAAATGACAGAGGCCCTCCATTTCCTAGGATGGTTACCTTAGTCTTAGGTGGTCTTTACAATTTTGTTAGGGGTAATAGTCTTATGATAGTCTTCAGCTGTCATACAGGACAGCATTTAACCTTTTGCTGTCTTACAGAGCAGCATAGGCCTTTGGCCACCAGACTCTGGTCTGAGATTTTTTTCTGTAGAGGAGAAACTTGGAGGACTCACCTTACTTTGGGCAATCAACCCCCGAAATGTCCACAGTTTGTGAAGAGCCATAGCAGTAGGCAAGTCATGGGGGAGTTTATCTTTACTACAGTCCAGGTGGAATCTTATTGTCATTTATAAGATATATTTGGAGGGGGCAGTTCTGTCTATTATGAGAAGCTTAAACAATTGAAATGCCATATTGAGTAGATCTTTGAAAAGCTTGAGAACCATCTAGCTATTAAGTATGAGTATGAACACATAAGGAGGTTATGTAATCTTGTTACTAAATGAGTACTTTACAAGGTAGTACTTTTTTAAGGTTAAGGTCTTATCCATGGTCACTTTGAGCCTTAAACTTTGAGTTGAAGATTTAATCAAATTACCTTTAATATCAAAATAGAATACCACAGTTTTTGTATGGAATAGTTAGATGGTTATTATCCAAGTAGCTGAAGCTTAACAAGTGAACAAAGACAAGGAATCTAGTCAAATATTACTGTGAACTGTAGTAGACATTAGAAATTTACAAATGTAGATTATCAAATATGTATTATTTATCAAACATGTTGTTACTCACCTTTTTTAGAAGTCTGGTATTGAACAGTTAGCAAAGACGTAAGTAGTTAGACATACATGCTAAACCAACTTTTGTTAATGAGTAGACCTTTATAGCCTAAACTTGTTATCATCATATATAGAATACTTTAAACCAGAGTTGAATCATACATATATAGTATATTGTAGCAAATATAACTTTAAGTTTTTATTATCATCTATCTCAATCCAGAATATTTGAGAACAGCTGTCTCCTTAGTCAAGAAAGGAGACGCAATGATGAACAGGGGGCTCAGTAGGACAGAAAAGATTTATAATTGAGCTTTTATACCATGTGGCCATCTTACGATCCTGAAGTCTTACAATATGCACCCTCTAACCATGGTAAAGATGGTTGCCAGCCATGTGGATGATTACATCTTGATGAGGTCATCTGCCAAGATGGAAGAGAGCCTCACGGTTGCTATTTAAAAATATCCATTTTTTTCTAAAGGAGAGCTGAATCTAAGTTACATACATACTATATTCTAAACTAGAGTTGAGTCACATGTATATGCTGTAGCAAATTAAAATTATTTATGGAAAGGCTGCAGGAGCCGGAGAGGTGCTCATGTGGAGGGCATAAAAGGGAACTGCAGCAGGACAGAGCCCAAAGAGACAAGTGAAAGCCGGCAGAGGAAGGAGATGAAAGGCCGGACTTTGGAATCTGGATTCACATTTTGTGAGTGGCAGAACCCAGCATAAACAGATGATCCACACATACATTAGGAGAGTCAGATCATCACCTTTGTTCAAAATGGCCAAGTTCCTCAGAAGGGAGCGCATTTTTATCATTCCCGGGGGTTCGTCACCAAATAAATTAAAAAAAATAATAAATAGGAAAAGAAAAGAACATGAATGCTTGGTATGGTGGAGGGGAAAGTTTATTGTAGACACGTGGGAGAACATATCCAGAGGAAGACACAGGGGCATCTTGGAAAGGTCAGAGTGGACATGACCAGACTGAGCTGTGCTGTGTGGTGAGGGGGAAGGGGGAGGAGTAAGAGTGTGACCTGGTACAGCAGCCAGGAGTTCAAAAGTACACACAGGGCAGGTAACCAAAATATTTGCATCATATGAGGAAGAGCATTCCAGCCCCTGGGATGGAGAAGTTTAGGGAAGTGTGTGAGGTATGCCAGCCAGGAGGACCCTGTAGCAGGTAGGAACTGAGGGATTCTGGGAGAACCTGGCAGTCATAAAATGTTTTGATATCAATTTGCCTTTTGTCCCAGGTTTGAAATCTCATGTCATGCAAATAGAATGTTAGATGAAATTCACTGTTGGTGGTATGAAGAGAACTCAGGGTGCCTCCCCAAGAAGCCTTTTTCTTAAGGTTCAGACATTTTCATGTCCCACAGGCATGAACTAAGTGTGCTTTTGTGTGACGATATATTATTTATGATTTATTAAAGCTTGCCCGAGGATTCAGAAAGCAAAGTCAGCCTCAAGCTATAGGGATCAGGCAGTGGTGATGCACACTTTTAATCCCAGAAGCCAGAAGCTAGGTGGTGGTGGTACACACCTTTAATCCTAGGACTCAGGATTAAGAGGTAGATGGATCTCTGTGAGTCAGAAGCCACCCAGATCTTCACAAGATTGATCCAGTCCTAAAGAAAAACAGTTCCCACAAAGATGACCTCAGCACCTGGGATCACACACACTAGAAGGGCATGAAAGATTGGAGCAGGGTTTCCAGTAGTCAGTATTAGGTTTCATTCTCCAGCCACACTGAGGAAGGGAAGACATTGAAGTCTCAGGATTCTCCAGCCACACTGAGGAGAGGCTTCAGTCTGAGGTCTGGTAGAGCCAGGATGGCATTTAGTATGAGGTAGAGTGAGAGCTAGTGCCCAGCTGCTTTGTTTTTTCTGATCTTCAACATGAAGCGTGAACCCCAATATCTGTCTCTGGGTTTTATTTATTTATTTATTTATTATGTTACACTTTTGGCTAATAGAAAGACAGTAAAGATGTGAAATTTGAGTGACCAGGAACATAAAAGGGTAGTGCTGGTCTCGTAGAACTCCTCACTACGGAGTATACTTTTTCCTTACTGACTTTGAAGAAACTGCCATATTGTAGTTTGCCTACACTGCAGATGTGGAAGAAAGAAACATCATGACTGGAGAGGCTGGGTTGGAACTCAGGGTGACCATAGGAGAGGATTTGCCAGCATAGGTCCTCAGTGCTGAAGCTACTTGAGCCAGATTGTCCCCAGAAATGAGTCTTTCACAGATAATGATAATAGTGAAACCTTGATAGATATCTTGACTGCAATTCTGTGAGACCCTCAGCAGAGTAACAAATGCAGTCACGCCTGTGTTCCTGATTCTGAAGCTGTGTGATAGTGTGTGTTTTCTTATGCTGGGAAGTTATAGACTGCGTTCCTTATATATGATGGATACATAGTACCATTTGTTCCTGAATTTAATGAAATGCTCTAGGATTTCTCTACTAAGAATGGTGCATGTAGAGTTGAGGAGATGGCTCAGTGATTCCCTTCATCTATGTGGTGACTCAGCCATTTGTGACCAATATATCTGATGCCCTCTTCTGGCCTCCACCAGAAGCAGGAATGCAAACAATACACATACATTTAGAGAGACAAAACAGCCTACACATAAAAAAAGAAAATGCTGATATATTTGGGGGCTGAGCACTGAGATCAAGGTCCAGCTCTGTGGCAGTGCTCTGGGCAGAAGAGGGAGCACTGTGTCAGAACACCTGAGTGCCATTTGTGAGGGCCTGGACCAGGGTAGAGCACCTGATTGACATTTATGAGCCCTGCTTTTTCTCTGTGTTCATGAAGCATAGAGGTTAGACAGAGACTTGGGGAAGGATACAACCAGAGTTTGATTTTTGTAAAGCCTCCTGTTAAATTTCCAGTGTCTCTATATTCATCACAAAAAATAAAACTAAACCAGAAAACCAAAAGCAAATGAAGAAAAGAAGAAAAAAAACCGAATTTGGTTGGACAAAAATATTTTCCAGGATTGAAATAAAATGAATAATGATAATCAACCTAAGATATAATATCAAATAAAGAAAAAGATAAGACAGAATTAGATGTATTTATTTGATCTATCACTACTGTCTTTTTCTGTATCATTCCCTATTTTTCTCCTGCTTTTAAAAGTCTTTTTGGATGCATATTACGTGATTTCACTAAAAACGTAGTTTGTAGACTTCTTTTCTCCTCTAGTTTGCTTTCAGGTGAATCCTCGGAGGGTGTCAGTCTTCACAGCTGTGTTTTTATGAACTGCCCTCTGGTAGAGCTCTCCCCTTTGTCTACTAGACCTGTCTGTCATACAGATTCCCCTGGAACTTCAGACATGATCTCTTTTCTCTCACATTTATGAGTCAGATCTCCATTTCAAGCAAAGTATTTTCTAGTTAAAAAAAAACGAGCTGTTTAATGATGGGTCAAAACTTAATGTTTATAGAATTCTGAATCATGGAAGTAGAAGTTCGATATGTTCTTGTCTTCTGGTTATCTAATTATGAAAGGGGAAACAGTATGGTCTGTTGACTTCTGAGGGTCCATTTCTCTCGTGGATTAACAGGAGCTTGAATAAAGGCATGTTAATCTTCATGCTTAACTATTTCGTTATATCAGGTAGGAAAGAGATGAAATGGAGGCCCCGCTTTGACTTCAGAAGAGGTGACTCCAGTTTAACATGTATAGCTTCTCTGCTTTGAAATGTTTCTGTGAAGACTTGCTAGCATTGGGAAAATTAATACAGACAAGCTCATTAACTGATGGGACCTTTGGGTAAGTTACAATCCACTGAACAATTCTATCCCAACTGCCCTCAGCAGAATCCAGACCTTGCTTGAAAGTTGATATTGCAAATACCACTTTGCCATCTAGTGGTTATCATGATATCTTCTTTGGAAACCAGCATTTTTCATCCTTATTGGTTAAGTATAAAAGAAGCATTTGTAGGTAAAGTATAAAGGAAATATTACCTATGTTACAATCTACTAAACAGGCTAATATTTAGGTTGAAATGATTGGAAAATAACAAAGTTTATATTATTTATTTTAATGATATATAGTAGTCTTTATTAATATCAAATTAATTAAATTTAAAGAACCGAGTTCAATTGTTTCTTTAAAACATGTCTCTTGGGGCTGGAGATATGGCTCAGTGATTAAGAGCACTGGCTGTTCTTCCAGATGACCTGCCTCGAATTCCCAGCACCCACGTGAGAACTTACAAATTGCCTGTAACTCTACTTCTAGGGGATCTGACATCCTCACACCCTGCATGCAGAACACAAATGCACATAAAATAAAAATAAATAAATCATTAAAAAACAGGTCTTGCTAGTTAATCCTAAATACCAAGAATAAAATGAATAAAATTTACTATCTTTTAAAAACATAATTTTGTAAAACCAGAAACAAATTTTTAGCATTTTATAGACATATAAAATGAACATCTGCAAATGCTAATTAATTTATTAATGACGAACCTAGTGAGATATCAAAACTGGTTCAATGAAGCAGAAAAACAGACAAAGAAACAGGCAGAGACAAACACGGTATTTTGTGTCATGGAGGAAGGAACTCAATAGAGCATCTTTTAGCATACCTTGCATGCCTCTGGTTAGGATCATTTTGTGATGCTATGAGCCAGCTAAGACTTAGAGAAATGTAAAACCGAACCAAATCAGAGGGGGTCAGATTGTCAGTTATAGACAGAGCTCCCCTGTAGCCTATGCAGCTCCCTCCACATGCAGGGATATTGCATGCCTTATTGTTTGGTGAGCTGCTTGAAAGTATAACCATGTACTGCTGACATGTAAGACATGCCCAGCTTCTGCTTCTCAATTAAACCTACAGCCAATTTTCTATTCTCACACTTTCTTGTGTTTCAGTGCACACGCACGGTGTTTCATTTTTTTACTTCATAATTTTTTATTGAAATGCTAAATTGAGTGTATTCATGAGATATTGTGTGATAATTACACAATACGTCTCTCCTGTGTATTTAACCCCTGTCCTCTCCTTTCAGTTCCTTTAGAGGCTCAACACGTCTTTGTGTAAATTGTAGCCATTTATTGAGGTGGCTGGTCATATAGTGGCATAATTAAAGGATGTAAGAGATGGACGTCAGCATCATAGTCAACAGCTTCCAAATCAAGGACAGCAATTGCAAAACTCTACTAGTCAAACTAATAAGACTTAAGTCATGTCTCTAGCCCTGGGAGGAAATGTGACATCTTGGACTCACAATCTAAACCTGGGTTTAAGCTTTCTAACCCTAAACCAGATAGTGGTGGTACACACCTATAATCCCAGCACTTGGAAGGCAGAGTAAGCAGATCTCTGAGTTTGAGACCATCACAGTCCACAGTCTATAAAGCAAGATCCAGGATAGTCAGAACTATACAGAAAAACTGTCTCAAAATGAGAGAGAGAGAGAGAAAATAGAATAGAAATATAATAATGTTTACTTGAAAAAAATCAGAGGTCCAGAGGAATTTGTAGCATTTAAAGGTCAAGCTGCCCTCTGATCTAGTAAACAGGCAGTTAACCAACTTAGCGGACAGAAATTGGTAAAAAGAAATGTGTTTATTCAAGGTCATCTTCACAAGGGTAAGTTGTGTGTTGTGGGCTTATCTAGTAGAAGGCTCCCTGATAAAGACCAAGGGTATATTACTGTTCCCTTCTCTAACAGTCAGTATAAATGGGCCTGTCAGTCACCTGGGAGAAAATAAAAATGTCCCTCAGGAAAGCTGTTTATTTAGAGACTTTAATAAACACTTTTATACAACCTCTCTAGAAAGGAAGATCTGCCACAGTGGTCCTCCTGGCCATTGTGCACACTCACCTCATAGAGGCTATGAGGTGGTCTGTTTGTCTCTCACCCTGAGAGTGTTTTGCTTCCCAATGGTCTCTTTGGCCACTGGCCACTCTCCCTGGTGATGGTACATTTTAGTACTGAACAATAAACTTCCCTTCCTTCCTATACCTTACTGCTTCCTCCGAGTTTTCCCATAGAGATGGGGACTCCAAAGCTAGATCCTACTGACAGTCCTACTGTGTCCCCGAGTACTAGCAGTAGCCCCCCATCTTGGCTGTAGCTGAAACAATGAAGTTCAGGATGGATAGATTTCCTTTTCCCATTTTGGTGAATATGGCTTGGATTACCTGAATGCTTATAGGTGAAGGTCTACCTACTTATATATGGTCATTCATTTCCAACAGAGTAGAAAAGGATGGAGACATGGATTTGTATTGCCAATTGTTGTTTAGAGGCTGTGTGAGGAGTAAGAAAACAATCAGCTCATCTCTTCAGCTCACAAGGGTTGATTTGCAGAAAGTAATGTATGTTTGAAAAGAGAATGTAGGGGTCGGCTTCCAGAAGGTCCAGATCTGCGTCTGATGAAGAAGAAAGACTGCTATGGAGAGAAAATTCACTCAGTCTGGGAACTTCCCACTCAGCCCAATTGTAACCCATGTTGTCCCATAAAAGCCCACAACACACTTTATTCACGTGAAGATGACCTTGAATAAGCCAGGCTTCTTTCAAAAGTTTCTGTTCCCTAAGTTGTGTATCTGTTTGTTCAATAAAACAAAGAGCAGCTTGACCCTTGAATTCTACTAATTCTTCTCGACCTCCATTTTTCTTAGTTTCCAGTAAACATTTTTCTTTTCTATTTGTGTATCAACAGCCTTTTTAGCTTCCCACCCAGGAGTGAGATGATGTACTGCTTCTCCTCTGAGCATGTCTTATTTAATTCAGTCTCCAATTCCCCTCAAGTGGCTTCAATACCAAGATTTCTCCCATTATTACTGATGCAGTGTTCCAGTGTTCCATCCAACACATGTGAACATTCTCTCTCTCTCTCTCTCTCTCTCTCTCTCTCTCTCTCTCTCTCTCTCTCTCTGTCTCTCTCTTGTGGTATGTGTGTATCTCTGTGTGTGTGTGTGTGTGTGTGTGTGTGTGTTCCCGTGCATGAATATATAGGTGCACACACTCTCACATATATAAGTTCACCCAGAGGTTGGAGGCCAACAGTCCTAACATTCCTCAATGCTGTTCTTAAGAGAGGGTCTCCCACTGGCTTGTAACTTATCAAGTAGGCTGGGATGGCTGGAAAATGAGCCCCATGTGTCTTCTTGTCTCTGTCACCATGCCCAGATTAAAAAAAAAGAGAAAATGGTTCTGAGATCTGAGCTCTCTCCTCCCAACCTCCCTACTCCCTTTTGAAATGCTGGGTATTTGCCACTATGTGTCTTAGTTAGACTTTCTATTGCTGTAATGAAACACTATTACCAAAAAGCAAAAAGCAAGTTTGGAAGGAAAGGGTTTATTTGACTTACACTTCCACACTGCTGTTTCTCCTTGAAGGAAGTCAGGAGGAACTCAAACAGGGCAGCACCTTGGAGGCAGGAACTGATGCAAAGGCCATGGAGAGTGATGCTTACTGGCTTGTTTCTCCTGGCTTAATCAGCTTGATCAGCCCAGGGATGGCACCACCCACAAAGAGCTGGGCCCTCCCCATCAATAACTAGTTAGGAAAATATCTTACAGCAGTATCTTATGGAGACTTCTTCTTAATTGAGTTTCTCTCCTTTCTGATAACTCTAGTTTATGTTGTCAGTTTGACATAATATTAGCCAGTACAACCATATGTGTAGGGTAATCCCAATTTACACATATCTATAACACATTTCATTGTCCAGTCATCTGTCAGTGAATGGCTGAATCATTTCAGCTATTGTCATTGATGCAGAAATGACCATAGATATGCAGATGTCTGTCCATAATCCTCTCATCAATTATTTTGGGTACTCAAAATTAGAACTGCTGGGTACATCAGTGGCAGCTCTACCTTTTGGTTCTTGGGACATGCATTCCATGAGAGCGTCACCATTTTGTCCCCTCATCTAGAATGTGTGAACGTATCCATTTATCTCTAGCCCTGACTAACCATACTGCTTTGATTTTAGTGTGTTTCACATAATACAGACATAGGGTAATAGGATATTATGGAGCTCATTTGCCTTCACCCTTGAAAAACTTTGAACCCACCAATCACATACTCTTCCTCCAGAAGTTCTAATGGCATGAGTTCTAAACATGAGCCTGTGTTAAAAGGTGATTCTACTGGGCCACAAAACAGCAGATCTCTGTCCGGAGGTCTACAATTTTCAACTCTGTCTATGTAGAGGAGCGGTTCTTACCAGGCACCTCAGAACCATCTAGGATGCATCAAAACACTAACAATTGAGTTTGCATGTAAGCCATTCCCAGGTGACAACATTCTGGAGCTGCTGGTCAGGACCACACTCTGAAGACTGCTCATGGAAATGCTGCCACTATCAGCTTTTAGCTTTCCAGTGATCTAATTCCTTAAGGTCTGAGCACTAAATCCAATTTCAAAAATTAGACTTAAATTTTTAAATTTTAAATTTAAAAAGCCAGATTCATCTAATTCCAGAGGAATAAAAATCTGTATGCACATATTCATGTATGAAATTTATTTTCAGTGTGAGGGAGATTGCATTCCATTACAAGTTTTTGATCATCCTTTTTTAAAAGCAAAAGCTATTTGAGGTTCTTCACAGAGTAACAGTTGGACCCAACCTTTTGAAAGTGTTCGTTCAATAGGGAAAGCAAGCCTGGGATTTCTGGGATTGAAAACATCTTGGAAATGAGCCCAACACAGATCAGTCTCACTGCTAATTATTCTAGCTATATTTTTAAAAAGATGAAATAAGAATGCCAAATGATGCAAAAGACTTGCTGTATGAAACAGACTATGACCCATTACAGTAAGATCATTCACCCTGATGTTCTAGTGTTAAATAGAAACGATGACATTGCACCGGGCACCTGCACCGGCAGAGCAACCAACAGGCCAGAATGTGATTACAGCAGCCAGTGCTTGCAGCTTCTGGAGGCTCTTTAGCTGAGCCCAGATGACTGAACTGCACTGAGACTCATTTGCATTGCTTTTCCTGCTCTCTTGTATTCCCCTAAACTCCCAAACTATGAATTTAACTGCTGAGAATGTGCATATCGTTTTTTTTTTTGCTGTTGTGATGTTGTTTTGTGTAAACTCTTCTGAATTTAATGTTCATTTTAACAACAGTGTCACAATGACACCATTTTTAAAGACAGCCCTTAATGTTTCACAGTTACCTGCTAAAAATCACATAGTTTTTGCCTTAACTTGATTAACAAGCTAATTGACTTTGAATTCATCGTTGGACCTCTTAGAGTTTTTTGAAAGCTGGTCTATGGGTATGTTCTCCTTTGCTGCATATTTATTAACATGAGCTATGGGTACAAATATCAAGTAATGCTTATTTGTGGGAACAACAGACCTTGGCCAGAGGCCCACTTCCTCATCAGCCTGGGAGCAGGCAGCTGTGAGACAATGTTTACTGAAAACATGTTTACTGAAAACAATCCAGTGCCCTAAGAAATGTTTACCGGAGCTATAAGTTCCCTCACTGAAACACCCTGACTTTGATCTTTCCAATGGCTAGCCGCCTCTTCCTGCCCCCTGCTGCTGCTGCCTACTCTGGTGTCAGGGACATATAACCACCAGCCAGGAGGAGAAAAAGTGTGTGTGTGGCAGAGGCTTTTCTGGAAGGAAGCTCTTGGGAAACTCTCTTGAGCCTTCTTGGGGAGCATAAAGTTTTCTTTAAGCAACCAACTGGTTTCTGTGTCATCAATCCCGACACCCTTGCTACATTCTCAGATACAGGCTGCGCAGCGGGCAAGGCACTTATTGAAAATGTATAAGAAGAACAACAATATGAGGAACACTCACATTTGACTATCCAGTTCATGACTTTTGAAAAATTATTCTTTAAAATCTTCATTTAGTTTTTTGTTTTAGTTCATCCTCTTCCATGCAATATGGAAACCCACAGAATTTAAACAAATTAATTTATTATCTTCTAAACTTCCTGTTTTATAAAATAGAAAATGATTTTGCAAGTGCTTTATCATAATTATAAAAAGACTCTGCCTAGAGACAGGGAGGTGGCTTAAAACAGGACAACTTTTAACCTATTTCACCTGTCAGTTTCCATAAACTTTGCTTGGGTGGCAATAAAAACAAAACAAGCAACAACTTGGAAACAGTTTCAGAAACACAGAATATAGCATGTAGTGAATTCACACTCTTTGAGGTCACACTGTCAAGAAACAGACACATTTATTAGCATAGTACTTTTGAATGCAAAGGAAATGATATTTGAATACTTATTTTCTTCTCATTGTCCCATTTTGTGCCTGTATTTTCGTTTCTGAACTTTGCCCTCCCATGCTAGTGGAAACCTGGAGGGCAGCCAGCTGCCCTGGCACCTAGCAACCAGCCTCTCAGGCTGCCCTTGCACCTGGAGCCCTACAGGACCGCCCTTTCCCAGAAGCGTCGAAGCAGAGAAAACAAGGTGGCCTTAATGGTTGACTTAATGGTGTCTTAAGGCTTCCTTTCGGCTGAGGTAAACACAGGCTTTGGTGTGCATCGCTTCAGTGGCCTGCTGTCAGCCAACATGCATAGAGTACTAAATCTCCAAAATCTAGGATTGAGTGGAACACACAGTGAAGAAAACATCAAGGCAAAGGGCCCAGGAAATGCATATTCCCTGTTGCCAAGCAACTTTCACAAGGTGAATATGTACCAGGCACATGTTTTACATTCATTCTTTCCCTGCCTGGATTAAGAAATCTAGATATACAATCTGTCTTATTTTGCTTTCCATGGTTTCTATAAATGAAAAAAAGGTTACATGATTTTAAAACAAAACAATGTATAAGTATCTTGGTTTGCAAAGCATATTTTAATCAAGTCTATTGATTAACCTGTGAAAAAAATATTTCCTAATAGACTAATAAGCAAATTATAATTTTATTAGGTAACATTATGCAAGTTTAAAGATACAATGCTTACATATCATTAAGGTCACATTTTAAGGTTCATTGGCAGCATTCAAATATCAAGAAACCTAACTTAAAATGTGATGTTGGGGATATTTGGTGCCTTTTTGTTGTTGTTGTTGTTGTTTAATTTTGAGATCTTCTTACTGTGTAATGCAGATTGACCTTGAACTTACTGTGTAAACTTGTTTCAAACATGCTTGACCTTTCTGTCTCCCTTTTCCTAGTTCCAGGACTACAGGCATGCACCCCCCCCCCACTCTGATGCCATGTTGTGACTGACAAAGCACTAACAAAGATGACACACATAGAGCAAAACAAATCTACCACATTTTGCTCCCCATTTGCCACACGCTAACAGTAGACCTCAATAATAGGACCTCAAAAGGCAGCAAATGGGACACAGATAAAAATAAGAAACACTATTATGTGACTGGCTGATAAATGGTTTTTCTCTTGGGAGTACTAGTGTGTTATAATATTTACATGTCTTTGTAAAATTGGTTTAGCAGTGGAACAGACTTATGTGAACACTTAAAAACTGGTAGACTGTACTTCACATATTGTAAACGGAAAGTAAAATGGCAACTGGATCAG